CCAACACCCGTCATCCCAGTGAGAACACCTGCCGGATTCCAGCAGAGGAGCCACAACTCCCCCGCCAGGACCCTCCGGAACTGTCGAGGTCGCCGGGCACGAGGAACGTCCGGGAAGCTGTCAGAGCCAGAGGAGCCCACGGAGACGTGACAACCAAATGGGACGTGGGGTCCCGGGGCAGAAAGGGCGCGCTAGGGAAAACCCAGGGACATGTGCGGAAGGCGCAGCCCGTGCGTGGTGAGGTCCACACAGGGACACGGCGGGGGCTGCAGAGGGACTCCGGGCTCTCCACTCTTCCTACAAATCCCAAACCTCCAAAACAGTAGGTCAATTATTTTAAGAAGTAAATTTGAGATGATATAAAGCATTCTGATAGAGAATTATTAGTTAAGGGAAAAAAAAGATAGGAACTTTTTTTTATCAGGACAGTTCATGTCGCATTTGGCTTTCCAGGAGTGACTCTTACTTAGCAAAGGCGAGCAGAGGGACAGTGGAAAAATTTAAAGTGTCATCTGTAAACAGAAGTCATTAATTTCACATTGTAATTCAGCACTTCATATACTTCACTGAGTGACAGGTAAGTGTGTACCTTTACGTATTTTGGAAAACATGGCTGCAGTGTCCACAAGAGAGCTTTTTAACTTCGAAAAAATGAATTTTTTGTCCTTGACTCAATGACTAGAAAAAGGCATTATTGCTCCACAGAACACTTATAACTTATCTTTTAAAATTTATATGTATTTCCATAAATTATGTAAGTATGCTTAATATATAGGCTTAAGATTAAGGCAATGAGTGGGTTGACACTCTCAGCAGTTTCGGGCTACTTCTGAGAGGTTTTGAGATCTCGGCCAGTTCACGTTCAACCAGGTTAGTGCAGGAGCTACTGGTTATGTGCAAGGGTCACACACACAGACTAGCTTAAACAAGCGAGGTGGCATTAAGCACCAAATACTGGGAAATCATGTGTTCAGTATATACTTCCAACATACGTACAAACTAGTACCTGATTCAAGAGCACATGGAACAATTAGCTTTACATTTAAGAATTAAGGGCTAATCTACACACAAGGGGAACGAGATGGGGAAGTGAACGCTCCAAAGGACAGGTAACTTGCAGGCAGCAGTGACAGCGGTCATTCCTGCACAGCACTGCTGCTGATGCAGATTTACCCCGGGGCCTCCCACGCCTCCGGCGGCGCTGGGTCAAGTGTCCGACTCTCACTGCTGATTCAGGCTTGGTTTCCACCTGTTTTTCCTTCTGAAATGTTGAGGTCTTGCTGGAAGGCAGATGTGATATGACACAGGGACACCACTTCCTGGAGCAGTCCGGCACCTTCTGCCGCATCCTCAGCTCCTCTCCCCTCTTTCTCCCAAGGAACAAAGGTGGAAGAGCGCCGTCCGAGGCTGGGCTCCAGCAGGTCATCGGGAGGCTGGCTTAGTGTGTCCCTGCTCTCCGCGGTGGCGGTCTCGGGCGAGGCCAGCTGCACAGCGGGCCCCGACGGCAGAGCCGGCTTCTCCGGTGCTTCCCTGCTCTCCTCCTTCAGGATGAACAGGGACTCGGTCGCCGCGCCTGAGGACAGCCGCTTCCTGGGTGAGGGGGGCAGGTGCCTGCCGTGCAGGGCGCTGTCGTCCTGCCCCAGGTGCCACTCAGCCTGGTCCCCTGAGCCGCTGCAGAGTGGGCCTAGGCTGCTCTCGCTTGGGGCGCTGGACTTACTCTGAGGGAAGGAACATATTCAGAAAAAATTTAACACACTGAGAGCATTACTTAGACAATATATTTTTTTTCTACTTGGAAATCACTACTCGTCTCTCCCAAGGCTGGTTAGGTCCCTCCCAGCAGGCGCGCAGCACCAGTGTCATCTCTGAACACCTCCCCCGGCTCTGTTAACAGCAAAGAAGTGAGAGGGACACTGGCTTCCACGTCTTTGCAACTGTCATCTGTAAAATTCAGACTCGATTACAAGTGACGGTGGAGGACGTGGAGGAAAGGAAGTCCTTGCACACCGTTGGTGGGAATGTAAATGGGTGCAGCCACTACGGAAATCAGCTGATATATACATATATGAAAGATATATATGGATTTATAACCCAGCCAAAAAAATACACACACACACACACACACTTGTAGGTATATATCCAAAGAAAATAAAATCAGTATCTTGAAGATACAGCTGCATGTTCATTGCAGCATTATTCACAATGGTGAAGCTATGGAAACAACCTAAATGTCACTGATGGATGAATGGATAAAGAAAATGTGGAGAATATGTAAGATGGAATATTACTCAGCTACAAAAAAGGAGGCTATCCTGCCATTTGTGACAGCACAGATCAACCTGGAAGACATGCTCCGTGAAATAAGCCAGACACAGAAAGGCACATACTGCACGGCCTTCCTTGTACATGGAATCTAAAATAGTCAAACTCATAGATGCAGAGAGTAGAATGATGGTAACCAGGGGCCGGGGACAGAGGGGTAGGAGAAATGGGGAGATGCTGGAGGGTTCTGGAAAAGCAGGAAAAGTTCTGGAGATCCAATTACAGCATAGTGACTACAGTTAACAGTACTGTATTGTATACTTGAAATTTGCTAAGAGAATAGACCTTAAGTGTTCTTACTGAAAAGAAAAGAGAAAAGGAAAGAAAAGAAAACAAAGGAAAGGAAAGGAAGAGAAGAGAAGGGAAATAAAAAGGAAAGGAAGCTGTGAGGCAATGAACACATCAGTCAGCGTGACTGTGGTCACTGTTTCACAGCGTGTATGTATATGAAAACATCAAGTTGTACCCCTTAAACATATACATTTTTATTTGGCATTATATTACTAAAAAAGCTGAAAAGTAGAATAAAATAAAATAGAGTTGCAAAAAAAACCCCAGAAAAAACCAAATAGGCAAAAACTATGCCATATTATCAATGCCAAGTTCCCAAATTATTATAATCAAACAGGGTTGAAATCACTTAAACTTCTTTCTCTCATGTTTTTAAAGCATCCAGTTCAACCTATTTAAAACTCTGCTAATTTCTGAAACAATACAAAGAAACATCACTTCAATAAATACATTTCTTAAAAGTTTTTCAAGACCCAGAAAATACAGGGAAAAAGTGGGAACACTTCACGTTTGGAAGTCCACCAGAAAAGACAACTATAAAATTAGGTTGTAAGAGAATATTGCTGCTTGACAAAAGAATTTCAATTAACGGCAATAACCACCAGCACTGGATAAATGAAGGGAAAATACTGGAATTTTGCTGCTAGGAATAACCCTTGGTGGCTAACTTTCATCATACTTCTGAAGTTTTGACATTGGAGTTTGACTCCTACCAACTAAGATGTAACATCTGGCAACCCCAGGAAGAGGGAGAAAGTTTGCACTTAATTTTAGCGGCCGAAACATCAACGCACCGTGGGCTGGTATTCAATATCGTCCATCGACCTGAAGAAGTCCAAGCTCCTGGCCGCCGCCAGCTTCCCCTGGTCCGAGCTGTGGGTGCTCAGCGTGTCGAGGATCTCGCCCAGCAAGTCCATCTCGCCTGAGTACGGGGCCTTCGCTCTCATCTCAAGGGAGTCGTCACTTTCGTAAAAGTAGGGAGACGCTTCCTCACCGTCTTCAGAAGACAACCTGGAGGGAAGCAAGGGGCACCAGCAGTCACACGGCCGCGCACGCCACACCCGAGCGCCTCCCCCCGACTCCCTTCACCCAACGAGAGGCTCTGCACACCCACGGCCGCTGCTGTGGAGGAGCAGAGCTCGGATCACCAGTTCGCGGCCCAAGTCTTCCCAGTGACAGGTGCACCGACCCAGACACTGCAGTTTTTGAGAGCAGGTGCGCTGAGAACAAAGAAACCAAAGGGCACGGTACCTGCTCACTGTGGACACACAACAGGCTAGTCACACAGTCTGGGTCTGTGGGACTGGGGACACTGTGCTTGGAAATTTCAGACAGAACACCTGGGAAGTTTGCTACTGTCCAAATTCACTTTCAGTATTTTCATATGGTTTTCCTTTTATTTGTTTATTCACTCATTTTAGAGAATGCGTATTTCTTTATATAAACAAAGATACATTCAATGGGGAAAAAAAAGAACGTCAATTTTGTCATCCCCAGATATCTTAAAATTGTTTAGAAAGTTCAACATATACCATTATTATTTCCCTTATTTTATGTTACAATTAATTTTTAAAACTTTGCAGTAAGTGTTCCCCTTCTGGTGTCACCACAGACTTGAGCCCCTCCCCGCTCGGATCCGAGCTGTCGCGGTTGCGCGTTGTCACTGCCCCATACGGCACCCGCCCTCTCCAGGAGGCGGCGGGGTGCCTATTCCCCCTTCACCACTGGCCCAGATACTTCTGCAGGCCTTCGAGCTTCCCAGGAACAAGACACATCAGGTCCATCTTGCTTTCCCATCTCAAGATCTATCCCCCATGAGATTCCAGCAAGCACCGGTCCCTCTCGCTGAAGACCGCAAGGGGGCCAAACGTGGCCTGTCAGGGCGCACGCGCCTTGAAACACCTCTTGTGACCCAGGACCCGCGCCCTTAACAGCACGCCACGCCCGCGTCTTACTTGCTCGCCCTCTCGATGTCATCACCGTCATCCTCACACAGAGCACCATCGAGGCTCTTGAGGGTCCTTCTTAAGCGCGGCTGGAGAGAGGGATTGACACGCTGGCGTTAGCGGTTAAAACCAGTCTCTTCTAAACATTTTAAGGAACAATTTGATCTGGGAGGAATACTAAGGGTTTTTGAATACCGCCCCGTAAGTTGACCAGCTGGGCAGGAAGAAGGGGACGGTACCAGGCAAATATTTATCTCAACACTTATTCGCACCTCAAACCAATAAACAAAAACCACATCACTGGATTGAAAACACCTACACACAGTCACTGGGTCTGTCAGTTCCTGAGTTAGGAACACCTGACTTAAAATCACTCACTTCACCATGCCACTAATCCCCTCATTTCAATAATAAGCAGTATTTGCAATTTTGTTTTTGTTTAACCCCCACCCACACTCTCCCTCACATCAGGTATTTTAAAGCAATGCTTCTCAATCCTTAACGCACATCTGCATCTCTCGGAGACTGGTAAAAATGTAGTTTCTGGCTCCATAGTGGTTCTGAGTTTCTGCATTTCTAACAAGCTCTTAGGTGAGGTTGGTGCTAGTGGATCCAGATGTCACACACTGAACAGCAAGGTACTGAATCAAATGCTAGACAGCCCATCATTTCACCTGTAAATACTTCGTTAAGTATCTTTAACAGAAAGATATTTCAGCACAACCAAAATATCAACATCATACATAACAAGTTAATAATTACTCTTTAATACCTTACATTCCCTCATTACACCCCAAAATATTTCAGTTGGTTTATTTGGACCAGAATCTCAACAAGGTTGCACTCTATTTAGTCGACACATCTTTCAGGTCCGAGGACAACCCGTCCCACCTCCTCCTTCCTCGACGCCATTTGTGTCCTTTTTCTGTTATTTTACCCCATTTCCTCTAGACTGGCAATTCCATCTGGAAGCTTGGTTAGATTAAGTTTCTGGGTTTTCCCTCTGGTCTTGGCAAGAATTGCCCAGAACACACGGCCCAGGCAGAAGACCTGGTCACAATTTCATACACAGAAGTGTAGGGGGAACCAGAGCAACTGAGCTCAGACTGCGGAAACCAGACTGTGTGCTCCTCAGGGCGTGTCGTGCACAGCCAAAAAGGGGACACCTTTACCTGGATGCGGACACCACAGATAGGTCATTACCAAAAATCTGCACCAAAACTAAAATATAAACGACTAAGAAATAGAAAAATAATCTCAACACACACAATAAAATTAAAAATATATATACATTTTTGACGTGAATATAGCTTTTTGCAAAGCAGTGCACATCTTCACTTTTCCACACGCCTTTTCTATAAGGATTAACAGTTGCAGATGCCAGTGGACAGAATCTGTATATTATGTGTATTCAGAAAAAATACACTATCCTGTTTCAGACCTGGGCAGAAATCTCACAGTAAGAGGTGTACGAGGGAAATGAACACTTTTAACATAAATTATTAGCCAGAACTCCCTAAACTAGGCACCAGGACAGTTATAATACGGCTCACACTTGGGAACAGGGGCTTTTTAAAAAAAAGTGATCACGAAATAGATTGAGAGAGAGAGCTAAAGGCAGTCAACACGATGAAAAAAATGAGAAGAAAAAATAAGTTGATTTCCATTAAAAAAAAAAGCCCTATAAATATTCTTTCAGAATTGAGCTAAAGGACGGGACATGACACAGGTACCTGGAACACAGGCTGATGTCACAGGCGCCTCCCATCGCCCGTGTGGCTGCCGTTACGTGAGCTTTTCTCTTTTCTGTATTTTGAAATGTCTGGAGGTTTTCTCCATACATTTTTATGAAAAAGGGGGAAGGCTTTTTCCCTTCTTGATTTCCTTTCTTCTACTAATAATCACCAGGTTTCTTAAATTTATTGCCACAAGAAACAAGACTGTAACACTGGTTCCCGCCACCTCCAATCCCGAGGAAGCACTAACGACACTGAGTGTCCGTAAAACTAGCAATCAGCCTCTTTCAATTCTGAAATTCAAGCTTTTCAAGTTCTGACATTTTAAAACTGGTCAACATTTTAGGAAATGAAGGTATTTTAGTTAATAATGAAATTACAGAAAAAGAAAAAAGTGACATTGTACGTATCTTGGTCCTTGGTCCCGCACTGGTTTTCCTTTGGTCCGTTACTTTAGTGGATTTGATAACAGTAATCAGACCTGACCTGGAGATTCATAAAGGCCCTTAAGTAATACCTTACTTAGACAAATAACTCTCAAAAATGCACACATGCTGTTTCTGCCAAATGAAACACAACCACTTCAACCACCCAAACATCTTACAACATACATGGAACAGAACACAACTAAAA